TAATTCCCAATTAACTCCCAATTAATTCCCAATTGCTCTGCCCAGGGGAGGTTCCAGCTCCACCTGCCGGTGTCCAGAGCATCCCGGAATCCCGGGAATCCCGGGAATCCCGGGAATCTCACCGTGGGAGCGCAGAGCAGCAGGTTCTCATCCGACTCCAGCGCCGCCCGGAACAGCTTGCTCTGGATCCTGTTGAGGGTTTTGAACCCCTCAAACCCGGCCTGGGCGTACTTGGGAAGTTTTTCCACGGAAACCAATTGCTGGGAAGAGGGGAAAAAAGAGGGAAAAGAAGGAATTTGGGGTTTGTTGTCGCCTCGTGGATATTGGGAATGGGTTGGGAAAAGATCCGGATGATCCCGATCAGGAGAAGCGGATGTGCACAAAAATTCCCCTCGTTACAGAAGGATTAATTCCCAATTAATTAAGGTTTGGGGGAAAAAAAAAAAAAAATCCTCATTTTTTTTGTCCTCTCAGATTCCATGGAAAAGCCAAATCCTCGAGATCCAACCCGGTGTTCAGGGGTGGGAAAACATCTGGAATTAATGGATGGACAAAAATCCCCTCGTGCTAAAAGGAGAATTCCAAGTTTTTTAGTGCTGGAAAAGAGGGAAAAATCTTTTTTTTTTTTCCGTGGATAATCCAAGCTTTTCCCGGTGTTCAGGGCGGGAAAAAAACTTGGGATCCACGGCTGGATTCACACTCAGGGATTTATTCCCATAAAAAAATTTGGGAAAACCAGAGCTGAGGGCTCAGCAAAAAAAAAAAAAAAAACCCCCCAGGAGGGGAAACTCGGCACGGGGTGAGCGGTGGGAAAAGGGGAAGTGGGAATTTCCTGCGGAAACGGGGAAAAAAAGGGTTAAAAAGGTTAAAAAGGGAAGGAGGGAGAGCTCAGTCACGGAATCCTGGGGTGGTTTTGGGGAGGAAGGAGCTTAAATCCCAAAATTTCATCCCAGGGGTGCCTTCCCCCATCCCAGAGGCTCAAATTTCCCAAAAAATCTGCTTTTCCTGGCGCCAAAATTCCCAAAAAAACCTGCTTTTCCTGGTGCCAAAATTCCCAAAAAAACCTGCTTTTCCTGGTGCCAAAATTCCCAAAAAAATCTGCTTTTCCAGGTTCCAAATTCCCAAAAAATCTGCTTTTCCTGGTGCCAAAATTCCCAAAAAAACAGATTTTCCTGGTGCCAAAATTCCCAGAAAACCTGCTTTTCCTGGTGCCAAAATTCCCAAAAAAACAGATTTTCCTGGTCCCAAATTTCCCAAAAAATCTGCTTTTCCAGGTGCCAAAATTCCCAAAAAACCTGCTTTTCCTGGCCCTTAATTTCCCAAAAAAATCTGCTTTTCCAGGTGCCA